GACCAGCCAACCAGGATGAAGAGTCAGATGAAATATTCTATAAGCAGCTGGGAGAATTCTCACAATCGCTAGACCCTTGTTCTTGGGGGAGGACTTGAACTTACCAGATGTCTGCTGAAAGTACGATACAGCAGGAGGTTCCTGGAGTGTGTGGAAGATAACTTCCTGACACAGCTGATGAGTGAGTCAGCTAGGGAAGGCGCCCCATTGGACCTGTTTTTTGTCAACAGGGAAGGACTTGTGGGTGATGTAATGGTTGGAGGCCATCTTGGACACAGTGATTATGAAATTATAGAGTTTTTGATTCTTGGAGAAGTAAGGAGGGGGATCAGCAGAACTGATGGACTTCTGGAGGTCAGACTTTGGCCTGTTTAGGAGCCTGGTTGACAGAGTCCCTTGGGGGGCAGTCCTGAAGGGCAAAGGAGTCCAGGAAGGCTGGACATTCTTCAAGAAGTAAATCTTAAAGGCACAGGAGCATGCTGTCCCCATGTGCTGAAGGACAAGACAGCGAGGAAGACTGGCCTGGCTGAACAGAGAGCTTTGGCTGTTGCTCAGGAAAAAAAGGAGAGTTTATGACTTTTGGAAGAAGGGGCAGGCGACTCAGGAGGTCTACAAGGATGTTGCAAGTCATGCAGAGAGAAAATTAGAAGGGCTAAAGCCCACTAGAAATCTGGTTACTGCCATAAAAGACAATAAAAATGCTTCTATAAATACATTAGGAACAAAATGAGGGCTAAGGGAATCTCCATCCTTTATTGCATGTGGGGGGAAACATAGTGACAAAGGATGAGGAAAAGGCTGAGTTACTTAATGCCTTCTTTGCCTCAGTTTTTAACAGTGAGACGAGTTATTCTTGAGGTACCCAGCCCCTGAGCTGGAAGGCAGGGACAGGGAGCAGAATGAAACCCCCATAATCCAAGGGCAAATGGTTAGTGACCTGCTACACCACTTAGACGGGATCCACCCAAGGGTACTGAGGGAGCTGGCGGAAGTGCTCACCAAACCATTTTCAGTCATCTGTCAGCAGTCCTGACTAATCAGAGAGGTCCCCATTGACTGGAGGTTAGCAAATGTGACCCCCATCTACAAGAAGGGCCGGAAGGAGGATCCGGGGAACTACAGGGCTGTCAGTCTGACCTCAGCGCTGGGGAAGGAGCATATCACCCTGAGTGCCATCACATAGCACATACAAGACAACCAGATGATCAGGCCCAGCCAACATGGGTTTATGAAAGGCAGGCCCTGCTTGACTAACCTGATCTCCTTCTATGACAAGGTGACCCACTTAATGGATGAGGAAAAAGCTGTGGATGTCGTCTACCTAGACTTTAGTAAAGCCTTTGACACTGTTTCCCACAGCATTCTCCTAGAGAAACTGGCTGCTCATGGCTTGGATGAGTATACTCTTCGCTGGATAAAAAACTGGCTGGCTGGCCGGGCCCGAAGTGTTGTGGTGAATGGAGTTAAATCCACTTGGCAGCCAGTCACAAGCGGTGTTCCCCAGGGCTCAGTATTTGGGCCAGTTCTGTTTAATGTTGTGCTGGTTTTGGCTGGGATAGAGTTAATTTTTTTTATAGTAGCTAGTATGGGGCTATGTTTTGGATTTGTGCTGAAAACAGTGCTGATAATACAGAGATGTTTGTGTTATTGCTGAGCAGTGCTTAGACAGCACCAAGGCTTTTTCTGCTCCTCACCCCTCCCCACCAGCGAGGAGGCTGGGGGTGCATGAGAAGTTGGGAGGGGGCACAGCCGGGACAGCTGACCCCACCCGACCAAAGGGATATCTCATACAATATGACGTCATGCTCAGCATATAAAGCTGGGGGAAGAAGAAGGAAGAGGGGGATGTTCAGAGTGATGGTGTTTGTATTCCCAAGTAGCTGTTACGTGTGATGGGATTGAGCCCTGCTTTCCTGGAGATCGCTGAACACCTGCCTGACGACGGGAAGTAGTGAATGAGTTTGTGGTTTTGTTTTGCTTGCGTGCATGGCTTTTGCTTTACCTCTTAAACTGTCTTTATCTCAACCCATGAGTTTTCTCACTTCTGCTCTTCTGATTCTCTCCCCCATCCCAATGGGGAGGGATTGAGCAAGTGGCTGTGTGGTGCTTAGTTGCCGTCTGGGGTTAAACCATGACAAATATCTTTTATCAGTGATCTGGACAAGGGGATCGAGTGCACCCTCAGTAAGTTTACAGATGACACCAAGCTGGGTGGGAGTGTTGATCTGCTGGAGGGTAGGGAGGGTCTACAGAGGGACCTGGACAGGCTGGATCAATGGGCTGAGACCAACTGTATGAGGTTCAACAGGGCCAAGTGCCAGGTTCTGCACTTGGGTCACAACAACCCCATGCAACGCTACAGGCTGGGGGATGAGTGGCTGGAAAGCTGCTTGGTGGAAAAGGACGTGGGGGTGTTGGTTGACAGCTGGCTGAATATGAGCCAGCAGTGTGCCCAGGTGGCCAGGAAGGCCAACAAAATCCTGGCTTGTATCAGCAATAGTGTGTGGCCAGCAGGAGTAGGGTAGTGATTGTGCCCCTGTACTAGGCACTGGTGAGGCCACCTCTTGAATACTGTGTTCAGTTTTGGGCCCCTCAGTACAAGAAGAACATTGAGGTGCTGGAGCGTTTCCAGAGGAATGGCTGAGGGAACTGGGGCTGTTCAGCCTAGAGAAGAGGAAGCTCAGGAAAGACCTTATCACTCTCTACAACTGCCTGACAGGAGGGTGTAGTGAGGTGGGTGTTGGTCTCTTTTCCCAAGTAACAAGTTATAGGATGAGAGGAAACGACCTCAAGTTGTGCCAGGGGAGGTTTAGATTAGATATGAGGAAAAATGTCTTCCCCGAAAGGCTTGTCAAGCACTGGAGCAGGCTGCCCAGGGAAGTGGTTGAGTCCCCATTCCTGGAGGTATTGAAAAGATGGACAGAGGAGGTGCTTAGAGACATGGTTTAGTAGTGGACATGACAGTGATAGGTTAACAGTTGGACTTGATGATCTTAAAGGTCTTTTCCAACCTAAACTATTCTATAATTCTAAGGTGGACTTACTCCTATTCTGTTTTAGAAACTGATACTGTCTACCCTAACCTGCCTAAAAGTCAAGCATGTAGCCTAGGTACTCTGGAGAACCTGGACTAAGAATCAAAGTTGTCTAGAGCTCCACTGGAGGCAGTTCAGGTAGTTCAGCTCACCTGGCTGAGCATAGAATGGGTCAGCTCTGGAGATGCCTTTTTCCATTGACTGTTCTGCAAATTAAAACAAAAAAAAAGAAAACAAAAGCTAGTCTGAGTGACTAACTTCAAAAAGGAAGGTGTGGGCTAATTGTGTGGAGGCAGGAATTCTAAATGATACATAAGAAGTATTTATTTGAAAATTGAAAATATTTTTGCAAGTTAAAGAGGAAAACGATCCATATTTAATTTACAAGTAATAGAAGTATTAAGTAATTCATGTTTTTAAGGGTAACTTCTTCCAAAATTTCAAGTTTAACTAACTAACTAATATATGTTTTCACCATTCCAGTTTCCTTTTAGGACAGAGAACAATATATGCAGTAAAAATACAAAGCAGTGGGAAATGAAAAAAGTCAATTTAAAAATCAATTTTCCCTGATTTTTTCTATCGACTCCTCTTAGAAATAACACCCAGAATTTTTATAACTGAAATGGATCATAAAAGAATCTCAGTGTGTTCAATTATTTATTTTATGCTTTTAAAAACACTTTTGGGTAATGAGTTTCACTTTTCCACCTTTCATATACCTCATTCTTTCACACAGAAAAATAGAAACCATTCAAAAATAGAAGATGATTGCATTTTTCTGTTTTTGTTCATACTTGTGCTTATGAGTTAGTGCTGTTCTCACAGGTACACAATGATGGGATTAAAGCCATGGCAAACGTAATACACCATAAGCAGTGATTTTTAACAAACTGATTTCTATATAGAACTAAATGTCTATATAATATAAGGGCTTTGTGGAAATTTAAACCAGGAAGTTTATTTATTTTACATCAGATTTTGGAAAACAATATAGAAGAGAAGGTTTGGGAGTATTAAAACAAGGAAGGAATCAATTGCAATAGTCAACGAAAATGTAATTGTCCCTAAGTCCCAATGTACATCACTTCGACGTGGCCATGTTAGAGATGCAGGATGTGAATGGGCAGTAAGCATACCCTTGGTGATGCAGTGCAAAAGGAGCAAGCAAATACAGACCATGACTCTGTTGACCTGTTGCACCTATTAGCCTGTGTTGAACCTCCCTGGAAAAGCATCAATACTAACCTAAATGGGTCTACTTGTTATTTGGCTTGGAGATAGGTAACAAAGTGACTCAAATGGTGCAGCAAAGGGTCACCAAAGAATGGCAAAATAGCCTGAGGATTGGTCAAATCACACTAAGGGTAAGAAGGGTCAAGAAAAATCTAGAGAAAGTGCTGCTCAGTTACAGTGGATAAAAGGAGCCTTTGGACACCTGTTAAACTATCATGTCTGGAGGTCTTTCCCTTAGCATGTTTTGTTTTGTAAGCATTTAATAAGATGTTAAGCCCTGCAGCAGGGAGTCCTGGTGGGGCGCTGGAGGGCAAAGTCGTGGAGTCTCCAATATTTTACTCATTCTGCTACCCCTCCCAAACTTTCTCAGGATTTGTGAAGAGAGTGGCGGATATACCAAGTTAAGAGTTTTTCCCTGGTGAAAACCAGCAGCCAGGAGCAGGCGCACATTGCCAAAACAGCTCATGCCACCTATGCCTGTTGCTGCCTGTCCCCCTGCTGCTTTCTTGGAGTGTCTAGAGAGAGACTACAGGCCAGATGATTTATCCTGGCTTGTCAGCCTGCTCCCAGCTGCTGTTTTTCTCTGCTTGTGCTATCTGTTGGGAGAGGGATCTCAAAGCCCTCAGGAAAGGTGGTGCTGGGAGCGAGCTGCTGGCCGGGCAGGTTGTCCTTGCAGGCAGTGTACCAGCTCTGGTGCAGTGATCTTTGCTACAGCTAGTAGTAGATACGATGGCATGTTTGGATTACAGCAGGCTTAGTGTGGTGGCCACCACAGAAAACTGTATGAAAAGATTCAGGTCATCAAGGCTGGGTAGAGGCTCTATTGAAAAAAAAAAAAAGGTAAATTAGGCTGTATTGCATTTGGAAGCAGACCTTGGTACCTGTCAACAAGAGGCAGCTACAGTGCCAGGCTTCATGGTGAAGACACTGTCTGTCCTGGAGAGCACCAGGCAAACTCCAGATGATGAAAAAAAAATGAAAGAAAAAGCAAGTGGCTTAGATTTGAGTCTGTGAAAGGGAACACCACTTGTAGCTTCGATATTTTTGTCCCTTCCAAGCTTATTATTTTTTAGCAATCAAATACAAGTCTTGTACATTTTGTATTCAATTTTATCAACATACTCTGAATTTTTGCCCTTTTCTTGTGCTATATAATTGCATGCAGGTTCCATTTGCCAGTGGTCTGATTGGATGTCTCTTTTTTTCTTTTTGGTTTCTGTAGGATAAAGTCATGGGTAGATAAGATGCAAGAAGATCTTGTAACTTTAGCACGAACTGCAAGTGGAGTGGACCAGCTTGCTGCGGTGAGTAAGAGGACGCACCTTAGACTGCAATAACTAGAAAGTGAAGTGAACAGTGTGCATCATCCAGGCATTACAATAATTTCTTCCCAACATAATAAAAAGATTTTGGGGAATTAAAATCTGCAGTGCTTACTGAAAGAGAAACGAATAACGCAGACATCCATCAATTCACTCTCTTAATGTTGCAGCACTTGCTCATTGCTAATATTTAATCAGCTTTGCAGTATCAGACATAATAAGGCTTGCCATTGTTGCAACACTTCCACCTGAAGCAAGAGCTTTAACGTTGTATGTTTGTCAAATACGGTATCCAGGAAGCAACCATTCACAGCAGTGGAAAAATCTGCTCCCTGTTAACAAGGGAGACTATTTTTCTGACACATATTTCTTGAAATGAAGCACTTTTTGGTTAGAAGAAACGTAAATGAGAATGAAAACTACTTTTCAGCTGTTCCAATTTAACACAAAGTGTGTTTTAGGGAAGAATTTACAATTCTTCTCTCATTGAGAAGAAATTTTTGTCCTATATTCTAGTCATAGAAGGTAAAAACACGTTATGAGATTGCAGAAAAATGAAGTCACAATTCTGAAAATGCCAGGATTACACCTATACAACTTTGTGTGTATACATCATGATCCAGTATGGAACCACAAGATCATACATTTCCTTCTCCCTATCCCTGCACAAGTCCCATGGCTGCTTCTGTGAATTGATGAATCTCTGGGTTGATGTAGGACTGTACAGTGAAGGGAAATGTTGCTGTTATGTCAGGAGCAGTTATTCTGTCAGCCAACAAAAGCCCTTGGTGCTGGGGAAGTGAACATGAAGCTGTGAGATTTGGTTTTCAGAAGTCATAATCTCCCCAAATGATCCATGAAATGAACAGTCGCTGTGTTTCAAAGCCATTAGGAAACAGAGAAAAATCAGGTAGGAAGTTTCTCAGATTTAACGCTGTACATTAATGTATTCCTTTGACCTTAATAATTTTTTACCCAGACATCCACATGACTCATGTGAATCCTGTCCCCAAAGGACATTTTCTCTTTACTTACTGTAGGAGGAGGCTAGATGACTAGGTCAGATGTCCACGTTTACGTTGTGGAAGCTTCAGTTTAGTTGAGATCATCACTGTGCTATAGAAGGAAGGGCTGTGTCACTGTGTGTACATGAGGAATGTAAATGAAGATTGCAGAGATTATTTTAGTTCTGGTCTTTCCTAATATTTGTGTAATTCATTCTGCAACACAAGTTAAGGCAGATGCTTTAGATGCACTTTTTAATCTTGGAAAACCCCAAACAAATGGAAAATGAAATCTTGAAATCCTAACACAAAGCATCAGATTGGTAAACACATGGGTTTCCAGCATAGGATCTCAACAACACAGAAATGTCTATCACCTAAGCTTTCTGAGGAACCATAAGGTTTACCCAGCATGGAACACTGATGGGAGTTTTTGTAGGTGGATTTCACACGTATGTGCTGACAGAGAGCAACAATGCTTGCGAATCATGTGTCTCTCTCCAGGTTTTGGTGAGGAGTTTCTGCTAAGAGGAGGGAGGGCCCTTTTTGCTCATCGGATCTAGGTGTGATCTGTTCTCTTCTGCATTTGCCATGTCTCTTTTTCCTCACTGTCTCCTCATTCAGCATCATAACTCTGATCCAGCACTGGACCTTCCATTCCATTCCTCTTGTGTTTTTTTTATCTTTCATCTCTCCTCAACATATTCTGTTTCTGTCTCATTTTCTACCTTTGCCACCTGGCCAGTCTGCCTTTCTCCCTTCATTGGTGCCTCAACCCTGTTTTTGGATCTCTCTCCTCAGCTTTTTCCAGTTCAGCACCTCTCTCTGGACTTCTTAGTTTGCCTTAACATTTCCAAAACATTCTGTCCAGGTGTGTGTGGCCAGCCTGTCCCAATACTCCTATTGCATCTCTTCTCTTCCACAGGCATTTTTCTTCCCCCTTCTCACCTTTCCCTCCATCACTAGTTCTCAGTCCCAGACCTGTAGTTTTCTCCTGTATCCTATTTCTGTTTCTCCTCCCCTTCCAGTCTCCTCTCTCCTTATTTTGCCTACCATTTTCCAGTCTGTTACTTCCTACTTCCATATCCCAGTCTTTCTTCTTCCATATCCTCCCTCTGTTCTTCATTCAGTTTTCATCTCCTCTTTCTTCCACTGCTTAGACCACGAGGGTGTAGAGGTCACCTGAGAGACCGTAGCAAGCCTGAGCTTCAGTTGCAGAGGAGGTGTGACATTCTCAAGGAGCGGTGGTCTCTGGGTTGGAGTACACCTGTGTGTAGGTTCTCAGGGATTTAGCTGATAAAAGCTCTGCAGTGACCTGCAGGTGCTTTTCAGGCTAAAATTCATTAAACACCAAGGAGTAAAAAGTGTATCTTTGAATACATATGTTGGGTTTTTAATCTACAGTGCAGGGGCTCTGGGGTATTTCAAAGGGAAATGAGTTACAGAGGATTTCTAACTTGAGCAAAGCAGTGTGTTAATATCTCAACCATTTTGCCTGGCATTTCCATGCAAAGACCACATAGTAAAATAGATAGTGAAAAGCCAAGAGATTGGCATTGTCACTCTTTTTTTTTCCCTGACGAATATGTTAGTTTATATAGTTAATATTTGGCAAACTTACAAATGGCTAAAAGAATCTTATAATGAGAACTGCTGGGCAATCGTACTAATATGTAGTGCTATCAGCTATACTTAAAGTATACCACAGTGACATTTGTGCTGAAAAAAACCCATGAGTCTGTGAATAGTGTAGGTAACTTTCTTTTTGAAAGGCAAAATTTATAGCACACTTCAAGCACATAATGTTATCTCAGAGGCTACCCACAAGGTGGTCAATATGTACTTGTAATCCTAGGATTAAAAGTGTGAAAGGGAGATGTTCCCATGTAAAATATCCCTCTATATCAAAGCCATTTGTTTGACCTAAATTACATGATGTCTTTCTCTAGCCACAAGGTTTTAATTAGCTCTCTTGCCTGCAAGGGAGAATGCAAAGCCCTGCGAGGTGTGACCCGTGCAGTCTCTCCCTCGTTCCTCTTGGTTACAGGCTATTGTCACTTGCCCGGTTTTGAATGACATCCTTTTTTTTTTTTCCTGCTGGCTGCCTATTAACATTTAGTCAGATGTCTTCTGAAACAAACCACAATCTTGGAAAAATGGAGACTACAAGACATTAAAAACAGCATGCTTGAGAACCTGTCACTTTTATTCACAGAACTTGCCTTCAGTTGTTCAGGCTTTGAAAATACCTAACAATCAGACTGAATTTTCAGCTTTGTTTCTGACATATTATTTCTTGTAGCTCCAGAATTATTTGGACCAAGTCTGTAGTCTTCATGGTTTTGGAAAGCTTAAAAAAATAGTAAGTTTTTTTGGCTTTTCTGCCTCTCCTCCCTCCAAAAGCAGAATGATTAGTACAAAAAGAAGGAGCAGAGTGGTTTTATTATAGAATAGTAGACATGACTTTCTGTGAACAACTTAGTGCCAGAGTGTGTAGGGTTGGAAAGCTGTAATTTGGTCAGACAGATTTTTGGTAGGAGAAATACCTTTCTTGTTCTAGGGAAAATGAATTTTAGTTTGGCCAAGTGATGAGGTTAAAGCTCATAGCAAGGATGTGTAGCAGGTTATAACTGTTTTACAGTCTGGTCAACCTCTCCCTGGACTCAGGGAAAGAAATCCGACTGATTCAGCTGAAGTTAAATCTATGTCTGCTTCATACAATTGAGTCTTCTATGAAGATCTTGAAGGTTGACCAAGATAGCTCTCAAAGTAGCACAATTAATACATTCTCAGCTGGAGTGAATTTGTTCTTCAAAACCCAGGGCTTTTTCAATTAGCTGCTGTGCCATGCGAGTTTATGGTGTTTCCATAACTTGTCGAAGATATCGCAGGGTTCATTAGTGCTCTGTGTGCTTGTATGCGCGTTGGGTGTCTGTGGGTCTTTGTGCTGCAGGAAATTATACTGCACTATGGTCTCTTCTGGAGAGCTGTGAAATATTTTCTTCTGGCCATCATGGAGAGGCAAGGGAGCGCTGCCTGAACTGTCAGTTAATTTGATTTTAGACTGGGACAGCTTTTGACCAAAGAGAATGTAACACTTAAAAGTGTAATATGTGCTTTCAAAAGAATAAAAAAATTGAAATCTAAACCACCATTAAACTCAAGTGAGGGACTTGTTAGGTGAATAGCAGACCTGTTGATATCAGTACCTATGTAAAAGTCTGATTTATTCTGCAGCGTGGACCTAGATACCCAGGGAGAGCATTTTTTATATTTAAGGTGTTTACATTCAACGTGTACTCAATTTAATGGAATCGTGTTTAAGGAGAGGAATCTCCTCAGAGGAAAATCCCCTTTGCTTTGTTCATTGACAGATTTCTTACAGTGACTTGGAATCACAGTCTTGTCCCAGTGACTGACCACTCTTCCCCTTGCTTTTGCCCATACAACAGAGCCATTGTAAACCATTGCAACTTTCATTAATCACAACTTTTGAAAATATCTGTATAGCGAGGATATGCAATAATATACTCATGAATATTCCACATAGTGTTAAAAAAGAGAAAATATTCAGGAATTGATTTAGTGAATTACTTCAATAGTTACTGTTTCTGAAAAGACGAGTATGTTTATGCCAATGGACATTTCACACACCTTTTAACTTATTAGCAATGATGACAGCAATATAATGCCTGTAGGAAGCAAAATTGTGAAAGAAAGTTTGGATGCCATTAAATTAGGAATTCTGCATTGAGGCTACATTTATCCATAGCCTTTTAACCAAGCAAACCAGTATAACTGGAGTAGAAGGAATAGACAAAATGGATATGGGTAGGAGATGGAGAGGCAGGTGAGAGCTGAGGTTTATTATGGTGCACAGAGGAAACATGATCTTTAATCTATAGATGCACCTTCACTCACTAATTGATATTTGCCATAGAGAGAGAATCCCAATCCAACCAAGAATTAAGCTCAGAT